AATTTGTCGTAGAATTGATTAATGATTCAATTAAATTAACTTGTCTGTGGTGGTCACAAACAAATAAATTAGTTAAATTATGATTCACTGAACAGTCTGCACCAGTTCATTTAATTAAAAAATGAATCACTAAATTAGTTCATTAAAGTTAACATGTCCCATCTCTACTACTCAACAATGTTCATACTTCTTAAAGTTATATTTTGTCTAGCTATATAATTTTTTTTAATAAATATATAAAATTTTATTTTTATAATTTATACATTATTAATGTCTTACTTATTATTAATGTTATTACTAAGTAATAACTGTCATTGGTATATAAAATAGTACTAATGGATACATTGTGTCAATAGTTAATCAAGAATAATCATAATTATTATGAGTTATGTGTTACACAGATTTCCCAGTGGTGTCACTAAAATACCATTTTTGGGCATTCAGGTTTTAAAGTTTAGGTGGGTAGCTTCAATATTTACCCTTATGGATAAAATGTTTGTGAACCCATTTGGCTTTTATAAAATATTTATATTGATATAATGTACCTATAATGTATACATTTAATGTTAGCCAAGTACACAAGTGTGGTTTCACACAATTTTAATATATATGAATCTAGTGTCGAATAACTCGTTGTTTTAAATCAGTTAACAATTAAATTTATTTGTCGTTTATAAGTTTATTTTAATAATTGTATACCTTTGTGGAATTTGTATAAAATTTGCACAAATGTATATTTTTAGAAATCATTATATTAATATATTATTCATCATAGGTATAACTCACATCATTTACAGAATAATGGCTTGTCCCCATTATTAGTAGGTATAATATAAAATCTCCATTAACCATTATCAATATTATAATAAAGGGGGGAACTTTTATTTAGCAGATTCATTGTTAAATATATCTTCTAATGATTTAAGTAATATAATCACCAGATTTCCAATACAAGGTTGTACAAAAAACATGGACATATAAACTGTACAATTTAGAAAGCATAGAAGTTGATTGGGAACCAATGGATAAAATGCAGAATGTGTACTGTGTAGGCAATTGTACTTGGGGTACAGTCAATTGGTTTGGTATCCAAGTGACTAATTTTACCACAACAAATTTCATATGACCAACTGAAGTAAATTCTTTGTACATACATTTCGTGCAATTGATTACCATTATATAAATAGAAAATTGCTGTAAGCTGAGAATAAACTAATAAAATACACAATATAAATGTATATAGGTATAAAGTAGTTTTGTATGTGTTCTAGGACGATACCTACCGTAAAATAGGTATATAATAATATGTATATAAATAAGTACCAAAAAAAAGAATCGTACCCAAGTGTATTTTATAATGTTACATAATATAGTATTTTCGTCAAATAATATTGTTTTTATGTCATCCCATACAAAAAAATATATATTTAAAAATGCGCGGGTGATATTATATGTTTCTTAATAATTATATGATAATATGATAATAATCCTTACTTTCTGATTGGTCGCTGAATTTTGCTCTCGATCCTCTCGTATTAAAACGGCTGTTATCTCGGGGACCCAACTATCCGATGCCCTGAATATGTAATTAATTAGGTAATTTCGATTTAGTCAGTTGGTACCTCTTTTTCGAATTTCTGATTCCTTATCATTTTTCCGGGTCCTTATCATTTTTCAGACAAGTGCTTATCAAGTGCTATATTATTTTCGGAAAAAATACGGTTCGGAAGAAATATTTTTCGGCTAGAAAACGTTTCGGGTAAAATATTTTTCCACGAAAATATTTTTCTGATAAAAAACGTTTCGGTTAAAATATTTTCGACTAATATATTTTCGACTTCCTTATTTTCGTGTATAATATTTTCTGATAAAATATTTTTCGTGTATTTTACTTTCGTGTTTAATAATTTTCGTATAAAATACGTTTCTGATAAAATATTTTTCGGATAACATAATTTTCGTAAATTATTTGATATTTTCGGCTGAAATATTTTCGGCAATAATATAGCCCCTCGTCTGATAGTATTAAGTTGGTGGAGTCATCGTGTATCGACCGAATCGTGATTATCATATTTTATTGTTTTTTCATTGGCTTAATTTTTTAGAAAGCGACGTTTACCCACGGCTATAGATAATATGGTTGCGGAACGGCCTATACTAAACAACGCATTACACCGAGCTGGAATGTTATTGAAAAGTCACGTGACTAAAATTACGAGCCTGTCGCGCCATTTACGGTATTTGTTAGAACTAATAATTATTGTACCACGTCTATATTATGCAGAATTGCAAACCACGGCCATGGCTATATAATATATTAAAATGCAGACTATATATGACATACTATATTATAATTTAAGTATATATCCAGTGGCGTACACAGGGGGGGCTAAAACGGGCTAACCCCCCCCCCATTACCGTATAATTATTACTTTAAAAAAATATATTAATGAAGTTCTTAACTACAAATTAACTGTGGTTTTGTCAAAATGTCCTCACATAAACGTCTTAAATTATTAGAATGGACAAAATAAAAATAAAATTGTAATTAATTGTCAACCCCCCTATTGAAAAATAGCCACTGTATATATCCATTGAATAAATATAATAAAACTATTAAAGTATTTTTATTTTTGTTGTACACAGTTTGCTTTCCCACGTGAATTGTAATGATCACAAAAGTGAAATACTTACAGATATGTTTGTTATGTATATAACGATGAGAAGCCAAACAATTGAATAAAACAAAAAAAAAATTATCAAAATTGGTTACTTCTTAAATTGAATTTTAAAATTAATATAATATATTTAAGTTTAGCTATTATTACTATAGTTAGTCTAAATATTGATGTGTAATTATTAATTAATACATATAAATACTTGAGCGAGCACTATAAACCTGAATTATTTATTTATTGCATACCTATAATATTCGTATATACAAACATAAATATTATTGTAGTACTGTATTTTACTTTTGTATAATTATTATTGAAAAACAATAACTATGACAAAAATACAGAATGATATAATTTTTAATGTAGTCATACAATTTATCACCCAGAGAGCGCTGTGTGCTGGTGTTAAAGCTAATATACGTTTTAAGCTTCACATTTTCTTGTTTCGTTCCGCAACCATATTATCTATAGCCGTGCGTTTACCCCTTAGATCATATACAATGGATGGAGCTATGTGTGTATTTTTCGTATACCGAGCTGTGTCCAACATAACCCCCCACTACCCATTTAATTTCAAGGTACAACGAGTTATTACGCATGCGTTTCGCCAACAATCACTATAAAATAACTAATAAGTGGGGGGTTATGTTGGACACAGCAAATGATTAAAGTAGCTCCATCCATTGTACCTATATGATCTAAGGTTTACCCAAATAATTATTTATTTTTTTTGTACATTTTTATATTTTATCGGCCTACATAATTTCGATAGTCTAGACTTCGTTTCACTTGTTTCTCATCCGCTGTTCGTAATTGTTATGTCTGCCGTTGATGATTTACGTATGGTTACGATTTAATTTTTCTTGTCACTGTTTTGCGTTTATATTAACTGTTTACCCGTGTTGTGTTAATGTTTAATTCTATTATACATTATTACATTATTTTTTTTCTAGAAATTATATTTATCAATTAATATATTAAGATACTTATATTTAATATTTTAATGTTGTTGTACTAATTTCTATGATTAAAATGAAAACCAGAACCAAGAAAAGTGCTGTTATTGACGGTAAGTGTTTTAGTAATTATTTAGTAATTTTATTGAAGTAGGACACTATAATATCATAAGGTAGGTAGGTACCTTGTTTTTCTTATTCCATGTCAACATAAATGTATACATTTTTATTAGCTAATCATAGACCACAACAAATTATAATTTTTCTACCATTTTAGATTTGACTTAAAATGTTTCCACTGCAAATTTTATTTGATAGATCTTTCTCAATAATATGCATGATTGGGTAATTCGTTATTGTATTTTGTACGTAACATACATTAGAGTATATTTTTATAAAGGTAGTATACATATCACACTATCACAGTTTAATATAATTTAGGTTTAATAACTAGTAATTACCTATATAATAAAACTGCGTGATCCATTGAACGTAAGACCCTCATTATTTCAAAAACTACTAACTTTTTTTAAGACTTACTGTCTTTGTCACTCCAAATATAATTAAGATGACGTTGTAGTGTATTACCCGCATTTGTTGTCTCCGTCTTACTATCGGTACGGTTTCCTAGACACGATGGATCGCCGAGACTCTTTATCTTGTTACCTTATTGCATTTGTAGTAGCGTAGTAATAATAATAGTAATAGTAATAGTTATTCTCCGTTTAATCGCAATAGTATTATGTAGGTAAACTATTTTTAAAGTTATTTAAAAGTATATGTCTAGCTGAGCGATAATAAACTAGTAAAATATACCGACGACGGCGACGTCGTTTGTGTTTTTATAGTCCGTTTATATTGTGTCTAGATATTTTATAATATTATGTTTTAGATCACAAAATAGTTATTATTTTACTTGAATATTTAACTTCGGATGACTAAAATACTTATTCCTACATGTTTAGTTAATTGTTTACTATCATATTATGTTTTTATTTGTATTGTACCTATACCCCCTAATAATATTCATCATACAATTCTTAATATTAAAAAGTTGAAAAAACAAAATTTTTCTAAAAATATATTTTTTTCGTTATCATTATTTAAATTGTTTCATTTTCTTTAATTAACAACATACTTTTAATTTTTTTTTTTTTTTTTTATTAATTTTTAAAGGCATCAACTGCAAGGTTATTAGCCTGTGTTACATTAATCATAGGGTTTACAATATTACGTTACATTAAAACATAATTAAATTAGTTACTTAATGATTTAACTTATACTATACTTAATGTATAATCTTATATAATATATACATTTTTTAAATAATAATGATATTAAATGAGGTGTCGCAGTTCTGTTCTGTTTACGAAGTTGATAAGTTTATCTGACGCCTCTGGAGTGGGTGCAAGTATCTCATATAGGGTCCCGGAAGTTCCTGTTGGATACGTGTTTCATTGACCTGGTGGCATTCAAGGAGGATATGTTTGACTGACATTAGAGTTCCACATGTAGGGCATGCGGGAGGGTCCTCTTTGGCCATGAGGTAACCGTGCGTCATGTGGGTGTGACCTATCCGCAGGCGGACTAGGATTACCTCGTCCCTTCTGGACATTATGAATGGTTTGGGCCAGGGTAATACTGATTGCTTTATTTCTCTTAGTTTATTATTATTGCAATTGGTCCAGATGTTTTGCCATTCGTCCATGGACTTGAATTTTGTTGAATTTTGAAAGTCTTGGTCAGATATGAGGGGGCATACTTCAAAAGAGGAGGAAATAATGGTTTCTTTGGCTTTTAGGTCAGCTTCTTCATTACCTATTATCCCGACGTGTCCTGGGATCCATGCCAGCGAAATAATATTTTTACGTTCATTGAGCTCGTTAATTATTTGGCTGATAACTGGTTGTGATGTGTTTAAATGATATATACTAATTAGATTGCTTAATGAATCGGACATTATTAGATATTTCTTATCATTAGTATAATGGATACTTTGAATGGCTACGAGTATCGCTAAGGCTTCTGCCGTAAAGATACTGCATAAATTATTGGTTTTTAATTGAATATTTATATCATTTGATATTACAGCTAATCCTGACTTCTGTTCGATTTTCGACGCGTCGGTTTATATTTGTATATGATCCGGGTAAGATTGCAGCAGTTCGTAATGTAAACATTTATAAATGTTTTTTTCCGTAGTGTTTTTGTTGTGAAATGATAAGCTTAGGTCTATTATATTTCTATTAAATCTCCAAGGAGGTACCTTTAATTCTGTGTTTTGGATTATATTATTGATGGTAGTTTCGTTTTTTTTAATAAAATCTTGTTGTCTTTCATATAGTGGATTGAGATGAGATGCAATTATTGGCTGTACCTGAAAGGTTTTTTTTATGATTTTATTATATACGGGATTATCTTGATGTTTGGACATTTTTATTATGTACTTGGTTTCGAGATACTTTTAATTATTTATTCAAAATTTGAACATTTTTTGGGGTAGGTACTTCGGTGTTTAAAAATGTATTTTTGGTTCTGAAGTTTATTAGTCAAACATAAGTGTTTGAAGTTTAGATGTGAGGTTTTAAATTTATAATTGTTGGTCCACTAATCAGTTAGTAATAAATTAGAATTGATTTATATTTAAATTTACTACATTTTATTGTAAAAGTGCAACAGCTTTTGGATCCCTGAAGGGCCATACGTAACACTGGCACAGTCGGTAGGATTTCTTTCAAAGGAGGCAACTCGTCAAAGGCTACCGTCAACAGAAGAACTGTACACTCTTCCGAGAAGACAACTCCAAGAAGAACTATCAAAAAACAAATAGGTCACTTCGCGGTACCAACAAATCCATCAGCATCATCAGCATGTTATCAGCAACCAGGAACACAGCATTATTGTGAATAGTTATTTAAATTTGTTACATAGACGTATGCAACATAATTAAGACATATTAGATAATTCTAAGTAGTTGACTATAAGTATAATGGTGTAAAAAGTTTTAAATTTTATTGAGGGCATATTTTATTATTGAAGTATTATTGAAGTTTTATTGAATTTATTGTGGGCATATTTATTGATTATTGAAGTTTATTATTGAGGGCATGTTTTTATTGAAGTTATTATTGAAGTTTATTGAATTTATTAAGGGCATTTTTATTATTGAAGTATTATTGAAGTTTATTTGAATTTATTGAGGGCATTTTATTATTGAAGTTTATTTGAATTTATTAGAGGGCGTATTATTGAAGTTATTATATTGAAGTTATTATTGAATTTAAAGGGCATTTTGAGTATAATTATTATGAGTATTAATGTATTTAATAGGTAGCTAAGTAATTTATGGACAGAGAAGGTACATCTCCCTTGAACGTAGCCAATTCATTGTATGACACTAGTTTAGTAGAAGAAGCCAGTTAGAAGCCCAAGCCCAATTTGAAGCCCAACAGAAAGCCCAGTTGAACATTATAGTGGATATTTTTTTTGGTAGGTACTTCGGTGTTTAAAAATGTATTTTTGGTTCTGAAGTTTATTAGTCAAACATAAGTGTTTGAAGTTTAGATGTGAGGTTTTAAATTTATAATTGTTGGTCCACTAATCAGTTAGTGGACTAACAAGGTAAGTTACATAAGTAGTTCACTACTCCTCACATCTAAACTATAAATACTTATAAAGTTATAACTAATAAGTATAACTATATTTCGAAAATCTGATTTTTGTATATCGGAATACTCCGAATAATATTCCGCTTTGGAATATTAAATTCAAAATGTATGTTGTTGTCATTTAAAATATTTAAAAACTTAAAAACAACAATCTATAAAAAATATACCAGTTTTTTCAAACATTTACGTTTGTAATGACTCAAAATTATGTAAAAGAAATAATTTAAAAAATAAGAATGGTTCACTAATATGTGATTTATATTACTATCAAATACTTTTATTTACTAATAGTAATATAAGTACAGTAGAACTTTGATTAACCGTCACTGTCGGGACCGGGGCTATGACGGTTAATCGAATAGACGGTTAACGGAAATTTTGCAAAAAAAACGTGTCAATACATATACATACACACATTTATTATATTTTATATTTATTATTTATATTATATATTTATCATATTTTACGTGTGTACTTTAAAAAAAAAAAAATACTTACATTGTAACAAATTATAAACATACATACCACACATATTATAAAAAAAAATCTGTCATTTTAGTTTGTTTTTTTGATTCTCTAGCTTTTTTAGCAGCAATATTACGTATTTGACGTAGAAGTAAGACTTGCGTAGCATTTGATTCTTCTTGTACTTCAAACCAATCAATACACTTTGATAACATCGCTTCTGCTTCTGAATGGCTAGTTAGTGGTTTTAAGTCGACACCTGAATCTTCGACATCCTCATCAATTTATTCTTCTTCAACGGCAGTGACATTCAAAATAATTTGTTCATCATTCAAAATTTCAAATCCTCCGTCCTGCTTATCATTTTCTAACCAATCTGTTACTTCTGACGTTGATAATATTTCACTGTGAAGTCCATTATTACAAAGTTGTACAATTTCTTCAACACTTACAGGCTCAGTTTTTTCAGATTCGCACTGCATTATTTCAGGCCATAGTTTGTTCCACCCATTCTTCAAGTTTGAAACACTCAAATCAGCCCATGCACTGGCAACATTGAATATAGCATCCTTTATTGTATATTTTTTCCAAAATTCTTTAATACCTATAGCATCGTCAGATGACGGAAAACTTTCGATAAAATATTTTCTGTACCGACGCTTCATATTCTCAATTATGCCCTGGTCCATAGGTTGGATAAGAGGGGTTGTATTTGCTGGGAGAAAAAGACATGTTATATTGCCATCATCACTTTTCAGTTCTCCAGAGGGATGTGTTGGAGCATTATCCATAAGCAGCAGTGCTTTATGTGGCAACTGTTTTTCAGCGAGATGAACTTTTACTTGTGGTACAAACACTTTATGAAACCAATCAAAAAATATTGTTTGATCCATCCAAGCACTTTTTTGTGCATAATAGTTCACAGGCAGTGCATTCATATTTAAATTTTTAAATGCACGTGGTTTTTTGGATTTTCCAATCACTAGCAAAGGTAGCCTATGATTGCCGGTTGCATTTGAACAAACCATTGCAGTGATCCGATCTTTTTGGAATTTAAAACCTGGAGCTGTTTTATCCGAAAATGATGTCAGTGTTTTTTGTGGTAAGGCTTTCCAATTGAGTCCAGTTTCATCACAATTATAAACTTGTTCTCTAACGAGTTTAATATCACATTGTATTTTCAATTGTTCCTTGAATTCAGCAATGACTGCACTATTCGCACTAAGTTTCTCTCCACTTATGTCTAGTTGACGAATTCCGTGACGAAATGTAAACTTATCAAGTCATCCCGTGCTTGGTTTGAAGTTTGGGTCGCCGTCTAGTTTTTTTATTCATTTCACCTGCCTTGGTCGTAATAATAGGACCAGAAAGTGGAATTCCTTGACTTCGGGCTTGAATAAACCACTGATACATAACGTTGTCAAGTTGTTCATATTTTGCCGATTTCATGGTTTTACGACTTCTGACATCTCCATCGTTGCTTTGCATTTGCGACACATGTTGCTCAATTTTTTCAGCATCCCATTTTACGTCATTCACTGTTGTTCTCCCCACACCATAAGTCTGAGCAATATTTGTAGCAGTTTCACCTTTCTTCAGACGTTTAATAATTTCAATGAATTTTTTGATTTTTTTTTGATTGAATCCTAATACAACACGTTTCCTCTTTTCTGCCATCTTCGAAACCCGACACATAAACTACGAAAACACTAATACACACGGTACACCCTTACACGTAGGCTGTTCGTCGGTCACTGACTAAATTGTACATAGTACAATACATACACACATAAGTTTATAGTTCATTTATCACGATTATCGCTTATATTGGATATGTACATATTACAAACTATTTATATACACTTGATAGTTACTGTGTTGGGCACGAGTTTATCGCGATCGTCTATCACCTAATTATTTTTTTTTTTTGGCGGTGACAGATGACGGATAACAGAGAGTGACGGTTAATCGAAGTTCTACTGTATTATAATAAATAGGTTACCTACTAAGTTGAATTAATCTTTGCCAAAAATAATGCCTTTAAAAATGTTATTGCATATGTATAAACTATAAATTATAATAATATTCTTTAAAAATGTCAAGTACCCCAAATAATATTTTTTAATTAGAACAAAATAGGTAACTAAAATATCTTCGTTTATATTATGTGTAATTTCGTTCATTTTAACATAAATTATTTTAAAAAAAATGTTTGTACATTTTATAGATTTTTTGGATACACTATGAACTATTTACGAGAAACTTAGGTTTCTACTTAAGTAGGTTTCTTCTTAACTTAGGTATATCATTGAATTCAAATTTAATACCATCCATTTTACTCACTTGTAACCTACTGTACAGCAGAGCACCTTTTTGTTTTTGTTACTAGGAATAATCATTGACCCACTCAACCCCAAAGTACCAAATAGATCTCTAATTTACTATAAAAAACCACTCTAAAATCTCAATGATAATAATCCAATCAGTTTAACTGCTCCTGCAAAAGGTGATGAAATACACACAAAAACAGTACCTAGCCACCTAGGTAATACTAAAAAGGGACACTCTTTGTAAAATCGGAAGGTATACCTAAAATATTTTTGGTGAAACTAACTGTAAATTGTAAACTTTTAAAACAAGCAATTTTTTTTTGATTTTTGTTCTGATGGTCCATTTAATTATTTCCCTTCTATAAAAATAAATTGACTTGCCCTTATAGTTTATACTACTGAACATATTTTTTCTACTAGGTTGGTACCTAATTTATGACATTTAAATGTAAAATATAAGTTAATGTAATAATGTACCTATTAATCTTTAATAATTA